TCGCTTAATCTCTTTCACTTTCGACGACTGGTTATTTTCCGGCCGACAACGAGAAGAGGCATCCCCATATTGCCCCCGCCCGGCTTCGCCCGGCCCCGCAGCGCCCGGCCCCGCACTAGAAGCTTCTCAGTTCCGGACGGGTTGCAGAGCCACGAAGCTGGATGGAATCCAGCCCAGACTGCCGGTAGCCGGTCCAATGACCGCGGTGGCCGCCGTGGTGGGCGCGAGTGCACTGTTTGTTTGGGGCTCCAGCACTTGCAGGGAGGGGAGTGGGTGTCAAAGCCCCAGCATTCTTCTTGCTACCTTTTGCCGCCGTTATTGTTTGTTGTTATTCCGTGCATGAAAACGAGAAGGGCGAGCGTGCGTGTGCGCGACAAGTGGTTGTTTGCATTTCTGGCAACTTTAATTCACGTACAGGCTAGGAAATATTTGAAAATAAACACGAAACAAAAAATCCACGTTGCTTGTAACGGCCTTTCCTCCACATTCTCTGCCATGGATTTCAACGTTTTAACGTTTTGCATGTGACAGCGGATTTCCTTAGATTTATATGAGGGTTTTTTTTTGTGAAGTACTGCGAAAACATTAATACAGTCAGAGAATTGCACGGCACTCAAAGTGGCGGTTACGCACTCTACACTTATGACAATTTGTCATGTTTTTACGGACAAACGCTTCAAGAGGAAAATTGTGCCAGCTTTGTTTTTCAGGCTTAAGAATTCTGTAGTCTATAAAGAATGGAAAAGTTTGAGAGCATGCAACCAAACACATGCAAATATTAACAAATTGTCGTCATACACCAGGGCGAAGGGTGGCGATAGTGTCCAACATTCGGAGTGTTTTTTCAGCTACGGCAAATGCACTTTCAAAAACATGCAAATCTACATTGTTGAAATCAGTTTAGGTGTTGCGTTTTGCACACTTCACTTGATAAAAGTCGCCGACAAGCTGGCAAGTGCAGATCACGCTTATCCTATTTTTATTATAGTCATCTATGTTAATGGCTTAGTCATGTGAAGATACACACTCTTAATGTAAAGGGACAATTGTAATGCAACGTTTACGTGCACATCCAGACCGGATGCTATTTTGTTCCAAAATCTAGACAAATTGCACTGTGGAAAATAGTTGTAGGTTTTAAGCGAAAACTTTCTCTGAAGCGTGTTCTAAAATTACAACTTAAAATTGTAAAATTAAAAGCACTATGTATCGATGTGGAATTCACCGGGAATTGACCATCGAGCAAGTTTGAGGTATCTTAAATTTACGACATATTGTAAATATTAATTACAAAACATATCGTAAATGAACGATGATATTTTTCACAGTGTATTTAAACTTTTATAGTTGAGCAAAAATCCGAATTTCCAATTAAATTCCTAAAGTAACACATCATTTTTCAATTTTGTGGTATTTTTTTTCACGGTGCGGGGAACCGGGCTGCACAGCCCCAGCACGCGGTCTTCCCTCGCGGGCTCGGGGACCGGGGCACAGACTATATGGCGCGAGCGAGATCCCCTCACCTATCAGAGAGGCAGTTCTAGAAAACTCTGCCCCCAATACACTATGGCAGAATGTGTGTAACACACACGCACAGAATGTGCACAGAATAGGCAACACAAAGGCACAGAATGCGTAACAGGTACGCATCAAATGTGTAACACGCTCGCACCAAATGTATAACACACACGCACCAAATGTGTAACACACGCGCACCACTCTCGACTTGCGCATAAACGGACTATTTTTTCAGGCACGCTAATTTTCTTTTCATGTTGTTTTTTCCCCGTTTTCCAGAGGTTGCATTTTCCTTCGTTTGTTCAGGTCGCGGCTCGAACACGCACTCACCTGCTGGGCCGCTGGGGCGCGGGGCAGTGTTCACAAACGGACGCGCGTTTAAAGAAAGCGCGCGCGACCGCGACTCGGCGCGAACTCGACTCGGCGCGCGGCGGGGGCCCGGGATTCGAATGTGAATCTTTGACGATCCGCTCCGCTCTGGCGCGCTATTCGGGGCTGACTAAGCGTTCCTACAGACTGGCCGCTCCGCCTCGCGCCCTGGCCATACCACCACCTCCACCGGGACGGCGGGCTGCGTGGTCAGCCCCTCCCCCCCCCCTCCTCTCTTCCTTCCCTCTTTTGTTTCTCTTCCTATCTCTTCCATCCTCTTTGAATCTTCTTCTTTTCCTTCGCACGGAAGCCGGATACTCACATTTTTTTTATCAATGCCGTCTGAGGAACGTACTCGTTGGAGCGACCGATATATCCGATTGGAAGACACTAATAATTTGTCTCGATTCCGGAGGTGCTAGAAAACGTTTGCCACGGTTTGCCACGCTAGGAAAACAAATGCGTGCATTTCCAGTAGATTATAGGACGTCTTCTCCGTGTAAACAAATATAAGGATTCCACAAAAATTCTTGTAAAAGGCGACCGTTACTTATAATTTACAGGTCGAAACTAATTTCTTAACACTCACCCTACACTGCAAAATTCTTGCAAATAATTTTGAAGCATTGAAAGGAAGTTTGCATTGCAAACTATTTTTTTTGCATTGCAAACTATTTTCTTCGTAACTTGCGAATAAATTGTTTGCAAGGTTACGAACTAATTCATTGCAGCGTTACAAATAATTTTCTTCGTACGGTGCGGAGATCTCGTTTGCAATGTGGAGGATTTAGTTTGCAAGGCAAAGCGTTGTGCAACGACTCTAAATTCTTTGCAATGCCACGAATAGTTCTCCGCACTCTTTTACATTGTAAAATATACAATAAAGAAACACTGCAGTTTTATATTGTGTTACTAATTTACAGTTGATTTTTTTTTTGTTAAATTTTAGGATTTTGTTTCTTTACTGTGTCAAGTACACCAATGCACAAGTATGTTCTGTCGATTTCCTGTTCGGGTCGAACATATGGACATTGTGGGTTGTGGGTACTTACGACAGGAACAGTGCCCGCCTTTGCAGCGGTTCAATTGCGTGCAGTTGACGTCAAAAGGTGACGTACATTTATTTCAGTATTTCTCTGACAAGGGGGCAGGTCTCTTTTGTGACATAGCTCATCTATTTATTTTGCACACATTTCGGTGACGTTTTCGTACCACATTTCCTCAAAGTCGTGCTGACTGACGCAATGCACTTCATCTTCAACATATTTTGCACTGCATGCGGGCAGTGCAACACAATGTAATTAAACAGTCACCCTCCTTATCAACACGGGGTATTATTGTGACCAGGGTCTGCTTTTGTTGTCGTTTGAATTTGTTGATCGGTTTCGCTCTGCACCACGACATCAGCCCTCTCTTTAGGTGCAGCAGGGCGAAGGTCAAATGCAATGCTGTGAATACAATGCAATCTGCTTTTGTTGCAATTTTTAAGCGGCCCGGCGAAGTGGGACGTGTACGTTTCGTCATGCCGTACCTTGTCAAAGAGAGCTCATTATAATAGCGGGTTTCGGTGTTCCCGAGGAAAGCGCTTAAGTCAGATAACGTCGGAAGTGGTTGTCATTTCGACCTTTTCAGTCACAATATAGTCATCTCATATGGGGACTTAAACGTCAGAATGACGTCTGAAGACCCTCCTTTTGACCCCATTTTGACTTTGTGTTTTCATTTGGTCTCTCCCCCAGAAAGAGAGAGAGAGACGCGATACTAGGTAGTGTTGCAAAATGATCTATTATTAGTGTTGCGTGACAGAGATCTATGCCGTGAATTCAAATTTAACGACGGCCGAACTGTTCCCCACGCCACAGCGGAACACCCCAAGCGCGACGGCCCTCCAGAAAACGAACTCCACGCTGTAAAACGCAACCAGGTGTTCATCGTCATGCCCAATCGGTGCTTCCGCTCGCAATCTGCAGAGTCACGCCCCTATGGGTAATGACACTACGGATTTTCTTAGATCCGTTGGTAGAGTGGTACAATTTTGCACTACGCCCCCCCCCCCCCGAAAATGCAGGAGCAAAGAACACATGGTGCACCTTTCGAATGAAAGGATAAGGACCCTTCCCTTTTTTGTAGCGGTCAGAGGTAGCGGTCATCCATGGGTCCCTAAACGTGCTAAAGGTCACGCTATCTCGGCGTAGCCTGACCACCAAACACAACGCTCAAAAATCTCCCAAACACAATTTTGTGCCACAATTTTGGCATCCAAGATCTAGTAGTGCCAACTTTTGCTCGCTTTGCATGCCCAAAGTCGGCGTCCAATAAAATGACTACTATTTGTACGTTAAGTTATCGTCACTCTCTCCTAGAGATGTACGGGAGGAGGGGGGAGGAAATCGGCAGATGACTAATCGTTTTAAACAGTGCCAATTTATAATTTTTTTGGTAAACTCTGTTTTAATTAGACAAAAATTTGTACTTAGTACATGTTTGAGATTGTTTTTTTCGATAGTCACACTTGCATCTGCTCCTGCTGCCGCGGGTCTTCGGCCTGGCTCGGGTCTCGCTCCCGCCGCGATGCGTTGCCGCCGTCCCGGTCCTCCTGTGAGTAGGGAACACACATCATGTGTGTAAACAAAGGGGATACACAGTAAAAATCATCCGTCCTTTTGCGCCTATTTTAAAGTTAGCCTTACGTCGAGGGTGACTATTTGGGAGCTGCTCAAGGGCCGTAAACAAATTACGTCTTTTATTTTTTTATTTGTGGGGATGGGGTACTTTTTAGTGCACATTCTGCTTTTAAATAACTCACACCTATGCATAAGAAAATTTTTCCGCTGATCCTCAACTGATTATGTTAAAAGTGAATGTAATGAAAAAGTTATTAAATATAGTTACGAAAATGTAATAAAAATAGCTTCACAACATGTAA